AAGTCTTGACTTTAATGAGAAATGAAGTCACTAAATGCTCTTAGGGAAAGGCATGCAGATTTTTCTGACAAATTAGAACAGGACAAACATGGAAGAGTGGGGTCAGTGGATTTGGACACCAGATCATAGACTATTCAGTTATCAAGAACAAATGACAGGGAATTCCCTGGTGGTCCAGTGGTTGGGACTCCGCACTCTCACTGCCGTGGACCTGGGTTCAATCCCTGGTTGGGGAACTAGAATCCCACAAGCCACAAAGGGCAGCCAAAAATTTTTTAAAAAAAGAATAAAAGGAGTCAGAACAATACCTGGTACATAACAAGCATTCAATTAAAATGTCTGCTATTATAAAATAATTCCAGGGACTGGTATGGTGGCATGGTAACAGAGGAAAGGCTGGGAAAATAAATCTTACTGGAAAAAGAAACAGCAAGATCAGATATACCGGTTTCACTTCACGAGGAAGATGACTACTAAATTTCTCTATAAAAGGCTGAGGAAAGAGGATGAGAAGTCTTATGAGGTTAATTAACTTCTATAATTTCCTGCAGGAACATACATTTAACTACTTTGAAAAAAGTGTCGTTTCTTGTATATTCCTAATTTTCTATACGTGGCCACTTTTAATTACATTTCAATGTCTTAAATCAACTCCAACATGGATAAAAACAAATTGTTTCATTGAGTAAATGAGGCAATGTGCAGTTGTCCTAGATTTAGAACTGGAGATACATTCAGATCCCAGCTCCATTCTGGGTAATCTTGAGCACATTACTGAACCACTCTGAGCTCGGTTATTATAACACGGGAGCTTTATATGCAATTTCTAGACAGTTTGCTGTGAGGGTTCAATGACATTAACACATTCTACACTCGTAGGTATTCAAAAGGTATCTTTTCCCTCCCTTCCCCTTAATAAGACAGGAGTTACAGTCTCTAACCAGATCCAACTGCTCATCATCTTTAGGATGTAAAGCAGGAGTTGAAGAGTGAAATAGGAATGTGAAAAAATTATCACTTGAAAATGAGAACTAGTTATCTAAAGGATTCAGGCTGGTGATCTCTCAGGGAAGTACATGAGGGATGCTTCTTCCCACCAGATCTACCCATGGAAAAATGGTCTCCACTAGGTGAATTCTTCGTCTGCACTTACAGGGGGCCATTTAAGGTTTGTCATACACTTCCTATCATCCAGCTGGTTGTGACACTATTTAAGCATGCAAATTTCTGGTTAAGGAAAGCAAGCTACAGCCCCCTAAAGGTTGAATGAATATTAGGCCATTTTTGTAATCATCCCAAATCATTAACACAGTATAATACGGGGAAAAAAAAGCATAATTTCATGAAAGGGCACTTTATGAAATCTCAAGACAACATGACTATGAACAGTTAAAATCTATTTACTCCTAGATTAATGTAACTAATCAAATGCTTTGGGTCTATTCATTCACCAGCAGTTCACATATAGAAAATATTTAATATTAGCCTAAATGAAATATATGTGAGAGAAAAATACGAGGAAAGGGAAAATAAATCTAACTTCTACTTTTTATTCACACCATTAGTACAATAAAAATTAATTTCAGAACAAATTCAGGAGTTTATTTGATCATTAAGGAAGCTTTAATGTCCTACCATATAATCTAGATTAATAGAAAAGACTGAATACAAACTATCTTAAGACATTAATCAAACTTTTAATGTATCAATTTATTGCATATGTCAGTACAAAAAAATAGAAAGTGTATTTTAAAAGAAATTTATTGTAAAAACACAAATGTAAATGTTTGCTTTTGCCATGATTAGCACATAATGTACTATAACATTCAGATTTGAGTTATAAAATTTTATCACTGCTTCAAATAAAATATGGCAAATAACAAAAATATGATTTACGTTATGAAATTGGATTAACTTATTTTATCCTGAACGTATTTGAAGAAGTTGAAAACAACTTGAATTTTCAGTATATGGAGTACTGACAGAAATTCTGTTATAAATGATGTTAAACAACACATACTCATCCCTGTTACATATGTATATATGACACCTTTCGTAAAAAAAGTGTCTCTTACACATGGTCCTATTGTTAAACTACATTTTTAAGATACAAAATATAAATGGAGGTATATTTGCACCATCTGGCAAAATGTGTTGACTACTATTAGGATGAATGCATTTATTTTGTCATACAAATCAATATACTATTTCTGATTAGCTGAGATGATGTGCGCATACGGCAATATAAGTCAACAGAAGTGCTTTTTATTTTCTACTCTGATTTAAAAAATATGTCTGTGCTCTGTCATTTCCCAACTTTACCTGAGTGATATGAAAATACATAAATTTAAGGATAATCCAAAAGCATTATGACTAATTCTTTTCACATCTTTCTCCATAATTGCTGTCAAACATAATAAGAAAAACAGAGACGGGAGAGGTCAGTGGAGGTTTTCAGTATATCTCGATCATAGTCTAATTTAAAAAGTGACTTCTGCGACACCCTCTTTTAAGGTTTATCTTATTTATTCCTAACCTCAAGGACAGGACTCAGTCAAAAACTACACTTTGGCTGGGCTTGCATGATAGTTTATATAAAATTGAATATGGCCTTCATTCTTTAATTCCACCAAACAAGCCCATACCCACCTCAAACCAAATCTTACAAACAAAAGAAATGAGTATGAAAGCATCAGGTGGTATGATTCTCAATAAATATTGTGGTATCATTAATCTGGTGACGCATTACCAAAGGTAGAATTTGGGTTATTCTCAACTGTCTACAGTCATGAAAAGATAAATTTAAGCTGTCCCATAACAAATTTCAGAACACCATTTTAATGAAACCACCAATTTTACAGTCAAAGTGTTTGCAAAAACATAGGGTAGATGCAGTATCAGGTGCTCCAGTTGCCCTCTCTGTTAGAAGCACGTTGAGTTCAAATGATCTGTTTTACATGTTATGCTTCCTTTTCACCAATCTCACCAGCTAATTATTTCCTAGATCTACATTTAAGAACGATGTCACATTTCCCTTTCCAGTTGTTTCTATCCTATTAGTATTCTTTTATCTGTTACAAATGATTTCTTCCTGTATTTTGCAATATCTTTTTTTAGGATCTTTTTTGCCATTTTACCCCCAATAATCCCTTTTAAAATAATGGATTTTAATCTCAATGGATTTTTTCTTGCCATATTTAAAATCACTCTAGGGTTTCCAAATTCCAGTAGCTTAATATCTTAAAAACTCATTCAGAAACTCCTACAGCTGCTCTTACATCAATGAGCCAGAAATTAATAAACAAGATGGACACACACCTATTGCCACTAAGAGATGAGTCCAAAATGAAGGTGTGACTCATGAAAGATTCAGGTTTTATTAAGACCAATTGCTTTGGCCACAATATTAGACACGTTTTTAAAAAATGATGCCACAGGCTTAATGGACCCCTGATAATAGGAGTTTGTCTTCTACCCCCTTCCCATCTAAGGAACCAGTCTCAAATACGGAAGGAAACTAGGAAGGAAAGATGTGCTACAACCCTAGACACCTTTTCCTTTTGTTGCAGAAAGAAAGGCTCCTCAACCCAAAGAGGAGAATGAAGGTAGGGATGGGACACATGTACTCCACAACTTCTGAAGTCCTGGGTCAAAAAGAAAAGGAGGGGATTGTTAATAAACCTGGAGTATTAAAAAAAAAAAAAAAAAAAAAAAAAGCAGCATAAAACAAAACACTGATGAAGAAAAAGCTTTTTATACTTCATCAGCATAATATTTATAACTAAAGTTGATAAATTCCTCCATAGTGTACTAGACTAAATGAAAACATAAGGTACTTTGTAAACTTTAAAGAATGATACAAGTCTAAGGTGTGCCATGTAAACTCATGTCTAAATACACTACATTTTGTTGTATTGACGTTCTTGTTAATACATTACTATTTAGGACAGCCATTCTACATAGCTATGACTGACAAGACGAAAAGTAGCCTTTAATTGTAGTGAATTTATAAATACAAAATACACCTTCCATGATACGCGTTTCCAACTTTTTTTTAAAAACGCACGACTTTTTTACAATTTATAGAAAACATTATCCTTTAGAAATCATACTTGCTATAAGTTATTTTTTTCTAAATACTGACATAAAGTGAATGATAAGAATGTTATTTGGCAAAAGTATTTCTAGCCCTATCTCTATGGAAAGTTTCAATTAAGGTCAAGATTACTGACCCATTATTTCTCTGCCCTAGCTGCTTGCACAAAGCCAATAAATATAGCTAAAATACTCAGAATATCACATGTTAAGGCTGACATAACGTACAGAGCTCAATTACATCTAATTTTTGAGGGCTGCTTGAAACAGCTTAGCTTATCCGTCTTCAGGTACATCCTGTGGGGATTAAGGGGCTCTTTAAATAAGGTGTTTCTTACCGTCTGTATGTCGAAATACTACTTCCCACTTACAGCCACTGCACTGTTAAATGTGGTCACAGGTTCTGTGATCAAAAGCTCTAGAGTTCCTTTATCCGCACATTCTCACACGTAGAAAATAAATAAGACTTCCTAAAGCTGTCTTTTGATGTGTTCTTCTATTTCATAACTGAAACATCAGACCAAAGAATATAGTTTTCATTTACTTTTGTTTTTGTAACTTTTATTTTCAGAAAGTCCAATAAATGATATCCTGGCTTTAGTGGGACAGATATACCTAGATACTTGGACTTAAAAATGAAATGTGGGAATTCTTGTAAAATAGTATGTACAATAACGTAATGATAAGACTTCCTAATTCTTAAACAGATTCTAATCTTCATTATGACTGCTATTAGTGGTTCAGCTGTAGACTTACAAAATCGACAGAAGCTAAAATTCTCTTTGCCACCAAAATTACAAATGTTAAAAAGTTCAAATATGCACATCAAAGCTGCAGTAAAATTCTCGATTTCTATTTTTACATGCCATGATCCAGACTGTACCTAACAAAACACGGTACGTTTATATTGGAAAATGGGGTCCCATTTATTTGTAAGAAAAAGCTGGATCTCAGCATTTACCAGAGCAAAATTCAATGGCAACCTGCACATAGGCCTCAATTTCATTTCTTGCTAAAGACAAAATAGAGTTTACATAAAAATAGATATAACCCAGGTTACCATATACATTGCTTTATGACCAGTATTTACATTAAAAACATTGCATTGCATAAGTCAAGGAATAAAATACCATCATGCATTTCATTTTTAAGGTGAAAAATGCAATTACAGAACTAAGTTTGCTTACCATGATTGTCCCAATATTTACTAAAGGAATAATACCCAAAGGTTTCTTGTTTACATATCTCCTTCCACACTTAGTCATTAATCTAAGTGTCACGTAGATTACACAACTTCAGCAACAAGAAACTTTTGAATATGCTATTATGATAGCATATTAAACTAAAGATATGGATACATAACCATATTGAAAGGTTCGATGAAAATGTATGAAATCCCAATAATTATAGTCCTTCAAATGTAAAAAACTATTTGGATCATTTTACCTTTCAAAGTTTAATGTCACTCTTCAGACAAGTACAGATATAACACACTTCTAGAAAGGAACATTCTTTATCATTCTGCACAAATTAAAATACAGTGCATTAATCAAAAAGAAAAACATTATATAATTGTTACATTAGATGAAGTTTTTGCCATTTCTTCAGGAGAATGACTCTTTATTACTTCTTTGATGAACTGTTCAAGGGCAGTGAAGTAACCCTGGCATTGCCATGTATCATTATGAGTTCCATCAGGAAAAATGGCTAATCTCTTAGTCCGAGATGGGGAAAGTTCATAAAGTTGCTTCATCATTACTGGTGGGATTAATTGGTCAGAGAGTCCAGAGATGAAAAGAGAAGGCATTCTGCACTGAGAGATTTTTCTGTAGGACAAAAATTTATTTTTGTAGCACCATAAAGGAAGGTAACGCATTGGAAAGAATGAAAATAAAGTGCTGGCCATATGCGGTATGCTTAAAAATGTGTTCTCCACCATGATGGCTGAAATCCTATGTGAATTTTCAGAGGCCAAATGAATAGCTACTGCCCCTCCCAAGGAACGGCCAAAAAGAAAAATTTTTGTTTTGTCAAGGTCAGGCCTGGTCATCACGTAGTCTAGCACAGCCTCGGAATCTAGGTAGAGCCCTTCTTCACTTGCTTCTCCTTCACTTTTTCCATATCCTCGATAATCAACAAGCAAAAGATTAACTTTGAGGTTAACCAACATAAGCAATGCATTCGGTAACCTGTGACCTATGTTGCCTGCATTCCCGTGAAAATAAATTATAGTTGGGGAATAGGGCGAACTGTCTCCAGTGTATCTTATCAAAATAAGATTTAGACGCACTCCATCTTTGGTCCTGATGAAAATGTTTTCATGTGGAATACCAGTCGGCATGGGAACATAAAGGCGTGAAGAAGATGGCTGCTCTGGGAAATAAAGCAATACATCCTGGAATTTATAGAGAATACCTGCTATTGATATAAATATTAACAAAAGTAAGATAATGCCTCCATACAGATGGAAAGTCACTATTAAAGGTAAAAGAGAAATACGGCAGAGAGCCCAAGACCATGAAGCCAAAGCTATTAGCCATCTTTCAACAAAGTTCCACAGCATCCAGGACTTTTCCATTGTGGCTCTCCGTAAGCGTCCTGAAGAGAGACAGAGATAGGGAGAATCAGTAATTCAACATATATCTATTATTTTAAAAGTTAGATCCATGATGTAATAAATCATGGTACTAGGTGAATCCTTGGAAACCTACATCAATCCATCCACAAAATCGATTGTTCTAATTTTCCTCATCCCTTCAGTTCTCAAGGTCTCCTTTCTCCCTCCATTGCTGTATATATGAAACACAAATATTCATCAAACTATATTCATTTTCTAAAAAAATGCAGGTACTTTCATTCATGTATTCTCCTTGATTTGACAGAAAAATAAGTTGATGCCATGTTCCCAATTTTTTATATGAGGGAACAAACGCTCTGGAGCATAAGTGGATTGGCCATGTCCCAGCTTTGCAGACAGAAGAGCTTGGAGACCAAGCAGCATGCTTCTAATGCTCCTGGTGCACCCACTGGTCAGCTAGGTAAGGTGAGGGCAACTTTTTTTTTTTTTTTTTTTTTTGCGGTACGCGGGCCTCTCGCTGCTGTGGCCTCTCCCGTTGCGGAGCACAGGCTCCAGACGCACAGGCTCAGCGGGCATGGCTCACGGGCCCAGCCGCTCCGCAGCACATGGGATCCTCCCAGACCGGGGCACGAACCCGTGTCCCCTGCATCGGCAGGCGGACTCTCAACCACTGCGCCACCAGGGAAGCCCCAGGGCAACTTTTTAATTTGAGGTAAAACTGACATATACCATATTAATTTCAGGGTGTACAACATAATGATTCAATATCTGTATATACTGCAAAATGATCACAATAAATCTAGTTAACATCCATCACCATACATAGTTACAAAATCTTTTTCTTGTGATGAGAACTTTTAAGATCTATGCTTAGCAACTTTCAAACATGCAATACAGTATTATTAACTTGTCACCATGCCGTACATAACATCCCCATGACTTATTTTACAACTGTTAAGTTTATACCTTTTGACCCACTTCTCTTATTTTGCTCACTACCCCCAGCTTCTGGCAACAACCAATATGTTCTGAGTATGGGGTTGTTTTGTTTGTTTTCAGAATCTACACATAAGTGAGATCATACAGTATTTGCCCTTCTCTGACTTACTTTACTTAGTATAATGCCCTCAAGATCTATCCATGTTGTTATAAATGGCAAAATGTCCTCCTTTTTAATGGATGAATAATACTCCATTGTGTGTGTGTGTATGCACACACACATCCCACATTTTCTTTATTCATTCATCCATCAATGAACACCTAGGTTGTCTCTGTATCCTGGCTATAGTAAATAATGCTACAGTAAACATGGTGGTGCATATATCTTTTTGAGTTAGTGCTAAATTTCAAGGCTTTAATCCATTTTGAGTTAATTTTTCTGTATGGTGTAAAACAGTAGTCCAGTTTCATTCTTCCACATGTGGACACCCAGTTTACCCAATATCATTTATTGAAGAAAATGTCCATTCCCCATTGTATATTCTTGGCTCCTTTGTCATAAATTAATTGACATATTATGTGTGGGTTTATTTCTGGGCTCTCTATTCTGTTCCATTGATCTATGTGCTTGTTTTTATGCCAATACCATACTGCTCTGATTACTATAGCTTTGTAATATGGTTTGAAATCAGGAAGCATGATGTCTCCACCTTTGTTTTCCTTTCTCAAGAATACTTTGACTATTCAGGGTCTTTTGTAGTTCCATACAAATTTTAGGATTATTTGTTTTATTTCTGAGATAAATGCCACTGGAATTTTGATAGGGATTGTACTGAATCTGTAGACTGCTTTGGGCGGTATGAACAATACTAATTCTCCCAATCCATGAGTACCAAATACCTTTCCACTTTCTTGTGTATCCTTTAATTTCTTTCATTAATGCCTTATAGTCTTCAGTGTTCAATTCTTTTACCTCTTTGGTTAAATTTATTCCTTGGTATTTTATTCTTTCTTTAAACTGAAATATAGTTGACTAACAATGTTTCAGGTGTACAGCAAATTGATTCAGCTATATTATATACACACACACACACACATATATATAACTTTCTCAGATTCTTTTCCATTATGTTATTACAAGATATTGAATGTATCTTGGGCTACATAGTAGGTCCTTGTTTATCTATTTTATATATAGTAGTGTATGCCTGTTAATCCCAAATTCCCAATTTATCTCCCCCTCTTTCCCCTTTGGTAACCATAAGTTTGCTTTCTATATCTGTGAGTCTACTTCTGTTTTGTAAATAAACTCATTTGTATAATTTTTTTATATTCCACATACAAGTGACACCATATGGTGTCTTTCTCTGACTTACTTCAATTAACAAGATAATCTCTAGGTCCATCCATGTTGCTGCAAATGGCATTATTTCATTCTTTTTTAGGGCTGAGTAATATTCCACTCTGTGTGTGTGTGTGTGTGTGTGTGTGTGTGTAGGCATCTTCTTTATCCATTCATCTGTTGATGTATACTTAGGCTGCTTCCACGTCTTGGCTATTGTAAATAGTGCTGCTATGAACACTGGGGTGCATCCATCTTTTTGAATGACAGTTTTCGTCTTTTCTGTATATGCCCAGGAATGAGACTGCTCGATCACAGAGTAATTCTATTTTTAGTTTTTAAGGAACCTCCATCCTGTTATCCATAATGGCTGCACCAATTTACATTCTCACCAACAGTTTAGGAGAGCTTCCTTTTCTCCACAACCTCTTCAATATTTACTATTTGTAGACTTTTTGATGATGGCCATTTTGATTGATCAGTGTGAGGTGGTATCTCATTGCAGTTTTGATTTGCATTTCTCTAATAATTAGTGATGCTGAGCATCTTTTCATGTGCCACTGGCCACCTGTATGTCTTCTTTGGAGAAATGTCTATTTAGGTCTTCTGCCCATTTTTGGATTGGGTTGTGGGTTTTTGTTTTTGTTTTTTTTGATATTGAGCTGTATAAACTGTTTGTATATTTTGGAAATTAAGGCCTTGTTGGTCTCATGGTTTGCAAATATTTTCTCCCAGTCCATAGGCTGTCTTTTTGTTTTGTTTATGATTTACTTTGTTGTGCAAAAGCTTTAAAGTTTAATTAAGTCCCATTTGTCTATTTTTGCTTTTGTTTCCATTTCTCTAGGAGACGGACCCAAAAAAATACTGTTGCAATTTATGTCAAAGAGTGTTCTGCCTAGCAATTTTATTCTTCCTGATGGAACTGTAAATGGGATCATTTTAATTTCTCTGACAGTTCATTATTAGCATATAGAAATATGACAGACTTTTATATATTGATTTTGTATCCTACAACTTTACTGAGCTAGGTAGGTTGAGGGCAAATTTTATTAAAGAGGTAGTTAACAGATTCTAACCTATCAAGACCAATCCAACAGAATTTATTGTCAATTTTCTTTTTCACATTATAGAAAAAAATTATAATTAAACTAAAATAAAAAACATAAAATATTTTCCCTTCTATTTGGAGGTTCTCACAGCTAAATTTAAAAAATAATTTAAATGGAATACTAGTTTCTAATATTGTATTATTTTTAAGAAAAAGTCTAATAATTTGTCTTTCATATCTGATTAAAAAGAAACTTTAGATTGTTAATACTGTGAAATATGCTCAATCTTTTATAGAGCCCTCACTGCAATTTCATACCAGTGGGTCAACAAAGATTGCTACAGTATACTGATAAGGCCATAAACACTTGGGGGATAAGTGTGAAACAAAGACACAGAAATTCTATTTCGGAACCAGAGATAAATGAAGAAAATGACTTACTGGAGAAAAATCTTTTTAAAGTTTGCTAAAAAATATAACTGATGTAAAGAAAATACAAAAGAAAAGCTTTCAGAAGTCATTGTTTTTGTTATCAAATAAAGTTTATGTGTGTCGTCTTAAAAAGGCACAAGAGGTGAGACGTTACAATTTTTCTTATGTAGTACTCATTTACTTATATATTTACCATTTTTAAAAATTACATTCTCTTTTACTCACTAACAAAACTACCATAAAGAAGTTATTCTTAAATTTAATACATAATTGTTAATGACTTATCTTTATAAAATTTTACTGTATGCCATAAGCTAATAAATGTGGCATTTTAGTTCACCAAATTAGATTTAAACACTGAAAACCAAGTTAAATTATACTGGCTACAAAGATGAGTTAGACGATTTAATAGATTCGATTTTTCACTACAATCTCACCAAAAATATTTTATTATTCCGCTAAACATGGACTTTCGAATCTGAATTTATGTTCAAATAACTCTCTTTGAACATAAACCAACAGTGTAGCATTTTTTCTGAAGTTTCTCTAAAATCAACACTGCCACCCAGTTGCAGCAAGTTTTATTACAATAAGCACTATGTTAAGCCAGAGAAAAGCAGGTATGTGAGGTAAAACAAAAATCCAAGCTTAACAACTAGAGAAGCAATACCTGAGCATTAGGTGTCAGACTTGGATAAGAACCAGATTGAAAGAGGCTACACCACAGCAGCCAAATAAGCCAATTACACTGAATACTGAATAATTGTTCCAGGTCAATAATCAATGCTGTTTACAATCTCTGACCACTATTCATCAACAGCTTAAATTATACAGGGCTACTCTATAATCCTTCACTGTAGTGGATAAGTCTGAACAACACATCTGAGCACTTAAATTTTTTATCTAATGCTTACTAAATTTTATTTCTTTAAGAGAACGATTTTCATTTGTACCCAGAAGTTATATTAGGAAAATCTGAAAACAGACTGGCATTTACTTTATACATCAAAATAAAATAATTTTTGTATAATGATTAGGATTAACAAGGTTTGGGATATAACACACAAATATACTAAGGCACTGTGTCATTTGGAAAATAAGATACCATTTAAGATACTTCTTTAGGGAAAAAATGTACTTTTTTTCATAGTCAAGCCAATCGTTTATGGCAGAAGTATCAGAGAGATGAGTAACTCAAATATCACTTATCTGGTGATATAGTAGGAAAAAACGCACTAAAATTCCACCACCCTTAAAGT